TCGTATTCAGCAATATCCTGCTATTGGTTTTTTATGTGTCATTTCGATGTGTTTCACGTCTGCTTTCGCTGGTGAGTTCAACAAATCTTCAGTTGACTTGTAATCCTAATTGATGATTGATAGTGAGGCGAGTAGGCATCTGGTTCAATGCAGACGAACACTTATTACAGGAGTGTATTTGGAAAAGATGTTGAAACAAAGTGATGTGAACATATGGATGCAAAACATACGCCTCTCATTAATCAGTATTCCAATAAGTGCCGTTTCGGTTCTTCTCAATGATCACAATCGAATTGCTGAAGGTATTAACAAGACTTTTCATTTGGGCTCTATAGTTAATTCAGTTACCCCAGCTTGTACTGCTGGAAGAAACTCAACTGAACTGTGCTAGCTAACTTTATCGAAACAGTTGTTTTGCTGTTCAGGTGTTCAATTTTAACTGCTTGTCGTGGTTATCAGTGAAAATACTTGAAATGTTAGTGTCCTTTTTCAGGGAATACGTTCCGCGGATTCGATACTCTTGTATGGATATTGACGTTCACCAACTCACTTGGTGGATTGCTGATATCAATTGTTATCAAATACGCTGATAATATACTCAAAGCTTATGCACAGGCATGCGTTCTATTGCTGATAATACGTGTTTTAAACTTATTTTTGAGTTGTTAATGGGCATTCTCGACATGAAACTTTATCCGTTAGAGTTGCTGATAAACGTTGTCATTATTTATTGAATCAATCAACTGATTGTATACAAAAGTAGTGAGATTTGAGATTGTACGAGTTCTATTTGGAGTAGTATTTAAAGATATAATTACTTGCGTGAGCTAGATTTACCTAAAAATGACTGCATTTTCAGAGCGCCGCAATAATCGGTGCAGCGATTGGTTCGTGGATATTGTTTGATTTCGTTCCCAATCTGATGTTCACACTGGGCGCGGGTACTGTTTTGCTATCGGTCTATATCTACAGCGCATATCCCTTCAATGGCTATGAACGACAAATTCATGTACATTCATCGATACCGAAGAAAAATATTGAAGGCAATGTCGAAAGTCGTTCAGCGAATAATGGCTGAAGTAACGCATCCACTCTTTGTAGGAAATTTGAATTAATGAAACTAACGAAAATCGAATTAACTTTATAAATTTCGATTGATACGGCTATGAATTTCGTCTAAAATCATAGACGATAGCTGATGATTTGAAGTAGAAATTGTGAATTTAGAGAAGGCTGTCATATTGTTTCAATACTATTTAGCATTTCCGATCTACAAGCATTGTGCGAACTTTAAGGGTCAGTCTAAATCTTGCGATAGCTCACCTTCACCATTTCGGGCCCGTTGAACAGTTTAAATTAATTAGGAGTGTATTTTGCTTATTCACTTATTCGTATTTGTATGTGTGACAACTAGTGTAATAAATGAAAATTGAACTGAAAGCGTATGAAAACTGAAGTGACAATTCTAAAAAATGGAGTTATTTTTATGTCTGATAAAACGAATCACATGAATCAATGGATCCGAATAGAAAGGATCGAGATCAGTTGCTGGCACTTCGGAAACAGCAAAATATGACTGTAAACTTTCGAAGAAGCATTTCTGCGCCGTGCATGCTTCTCCAATATCACGTTCTTCGTAGATGCATAAAAATTCGTCTGCGTCTATTGCACGAAGACTTTTCATCAGACTTTGAACACCCTAAAAATAATTATTATTATTACTCGGACATCGGGTGGTTGTTTTGTTAATCGCTGTGACCGATCGGCGGAATATTTATTTTACTAGAGTTATGAATTTTTACTGGATTGGTGTTTGGTTGCGATTAGTTATGCAAAGTCTTCACGGCAATTAATTAATTACTCAGTTGTGTTCGGTTGGCCTGCTCGCCTAGCCGGGGGAAACGTAAATTGAGGCTAAAACAATGCGCACGGAAACGCGAGCATTGTGGCTAGCAACGTTACAAACGTATGGATAGCCTGGCCAATCCAGGTAATCCAGGTAAAAATTTAAAAAAATAAGTGCTTCATTCGAAACAAAAAATGCTGAAGACAGTTATCATAAAGTAATTCAACAACACATCAAAAAGAAATTTGTAAGTCAGGAATAAATCAGCAATGTG